AATGAATTACACAAGAGGCATATGAGGAATTAGAATATTCAACTTTGCAAGAAATTCCAAGGAGTTTGGAGTATACATGAAAAATATTAAGGGTCAGGCTAATATGTGACTTAAAGTGTTAAGGAAACTATAATTAAAAAAAATTAAATATAATTAAATGTAATAAAGTTATATTTAAAATTTTAAAATATTGAATGCACACATTCAAAGAGAATATTTCTACGAATAACTTATTAATTTATGTCTTTAGTATATATGTTAGCATTTTCCAAATATTAAAATGAATGTTTCTCCAATCTCATACTAGAAACCAAAACTAGATTTCACGAAGAATGGTTTTTAGGAGGCGATTTCAACGAATTAGTTAGTAGTAGAGAGGAAAGATTAGGAGTAGGAGTCTATAATAGTAAGGGAGATATGGATGCATTTAACAATTTATTGATGATATGGATTTGGTGGATATTGCCTACGTAGGGGAAGATTCACTTGATTTAAAGGGGATGGGAAGACCATGAGTAGACTTGACAAATTTTTATTAACAAGAAAGCTAATTGAAGATTGGAATGTAATTGATTAAAGAGTGGTGAGTAGAGATATCTCTGACCATTTCCCAATTTGACTTAATTCAGGCAAGATTGATTGGGGGCCGAAGCCGTTTAGATTCAATAATGCTTGGTTTAAGCATGAAGGCTTCAAGACCTTTATCAAAGATGAGTGGGCTAAGATTAAAGTAGTGAGAAGAGGATATTTTGTCTTGTACGAGAAGCTAAATTGTCCAAAGCATCGTATTATAGATTCGAGCCGTGATATCTTCAGATGGATTCATTTGAAGGTTAGCGAACAAGTAAGAAACCTAAATGACTTGGATTCCTTATGGTAGATCATTATGGTGGAGATTTATAGGAACTTGTAATCGATAGATGCAATGCAACATGGGACCTTTGGAATACTCTAAACTTGAAAGAAAGCATGCTTCAGTTGAAATCAAGACAACTGTGGTTGGATGAGGGTGATAAGAATAACATATTTTTCCATAATTCTTTGAAGGAGAGGTATATGAGAAATTTCATTACATTATTGGAAGGGGAGGGTGGGAGAGTGGAAGGAGTGGAAAATATTAAGAAAGTTGTTAAAACATACTTTGAGGAGTTTTTTTAAAGAAAGTAATGTAAATCGACTGATCCCTAAAGGTCTTGACTTTAAGAGGTTGAGTGAGCAAGATAGCATGTGGATTGAGAGAGCGTTTTTAAAGGAGGAAGTGAAGGAGGTGGTGTGGTTGTGTGATGGCAACAAAATTGTCGGACCAAATGGTTATTCCTTTGAGTTTTTAAGAAAAATTGGGAGATTCTAAAGACGGATGTTGTTAGGTTTGTCACAGACTTTCACATTAAAAAAAAAAAAGCTCACAAAAGCTTGTATGTTTTCTTTCCTTACCTTTATACTAAAGGTTAAAAATCCGCAATCTTTATATGAGTATATGCCCATTTGCCTTGTGGGGAGTTTGCATAATATACTTTCAAAACTGTTGGCAGCCAAGTTAAAATGTGTGTTAGAGAAGATTGTTTCGATTAACCAATCTGTATTCGTTCCGAGGAGGAATATTTCGGATGGTGTTCTAGTAATAAATGAGGTTTTGGACTTGGCGATAAGAGATAGAAGGAGTTGTATAGTGATGAAAGGAGATTTCGAAAAAGCTTATGATTGTGTTAGTTGGAACTTCTTGAGGTACTTGTTGGCTAAGATGAGATTTGGTGATAGATGGATTCAGTGGATGGAAGGGTGTGTTTTCTCAAGCTCTATGTCCGTCGTCGTCAATGGTAGTACCAATAAGGACTTTAAGGTTGAGAGAGGTCTTCGTCAAGGTGACCCTATTTCACCATTCTTATTTGTTTTGGTCATGGAAGCTTTGACAGGTCTCATGCATAAGGCAGTCGATAGAGGTGACTTTAAAGGTTTTAAAATTAATGAAGATGAATAGGTTAATTTGATGTAGTTTGTGGATGACACTATAATCATAGCGGATGGTTGTTGTGAAAATTTGTGGAGCATAAAATCTATTTTAAGGGTCTTTGAGATGATGTTTGGCTTAAATATATACTTTCATAAAAGTAAGATATATGGAATTCATGTGGGAGATTTACTCTTGAATATTTCCTCTGCTTTTCTATAGTGCAATATTGCAGTTTACCGTTTAAATTCGTTGGAGTGAAAGTTGAGGATAGTCCTAGGAAATTAGCTATGTGGAATGATTTAATCAATCATTTAAAGAGTAGGTTGGTAGAGTGGAAAGGAAAACATCTTTCCTTTGCGGGTCGTGTGAACTTAATAAACTTGGTGTTGAACGCAATTCCCATCTACTCTTTATCTTTCTATAAAGCTCCCTCTAAAGTCATAAAGGAGATTCGACGTATTCAAAGCATTTTTTATGGCGAGGTTGCGAGAATAGAATGAAGGTCCATTGGGTGAGTTGGAACACCGTGTGTAAACCTCGTGATAAAGGTGGTATTGGCATTAAGGGTATATCAGTATTAAATTTGGTGCTATTGTACAAGTGGAAATGGAGAATTTTGAAGGAGCAAGATGCGGTGTGGAGTAACATTCTAAGAAGTAGATACGAGAGCCACATATCCAAGGTGCTAGTCGGAGACAAATAATGCTGAACAATATGGACTCTATTTGGTGGAGGGATATACTACTGTCTGATTATTCTATGGACATTTTGGTTAATCGTTTACTGGTGCAGCTTTGTGCAAAGTTCACAATGGCGAGGGGACAACCTTTTCCAGAGATTTTCGAAAATGCCATCAGTGGATGTTGTTATGTAGCAGAATGGATCCTGGTATGTGGGAGGAGTTCATAGAAACGGTGCAGGATGAAAATCTGATTGAGTCCGAGTCTGACAGCTTTGTGTTGTTGGAGGAGCCCGATGGATAATTTTTGGTGAAGTCTTGCATCAAGTTATTCAGTGACAACAAATTTGTTTCGATAATTGCCGCAAAAGTGGTGGCAGCAATCAATTGTATGTGGAAGATTAAATCTCTGTCTAAATTATATTTCTTTAGTTGGATATTTTTTCTAAATAGGATTGCTACAAAAGACCAATTGTTCAAACGTGTAATCCTAACGAAAAATACGGATTTATGTTGCGCTTTCTGTGGTACGGAAGTTGAATCTAGATCACATCTTTTCGGAGTTTGTTTGTACTTGGTAAGAATTTAGAAGAAGGTTTATGATTGGATTGACAACCTTTTGGAATTGTCTTTTGGGGGTTTTATAGGTTTCTTTTTCTATTGTGAGAAGTTGAAGAGTAGTTTAAAGAGGACTACCGTTGCAGTTATTTTGCTCGTAACGGTTTGGAGTCTTTGGTTGTTGCACAATAACATCATTTTTAAGGGAGCCGTGTTCATTTTTGATGATTGTATGACGGAAATTGTTCTAAGATCATGGTTATTGTTATGTTCTTCTTGTAAAATTGTTGATAATTGTAAATTTTCCGTTTGGAATACTCTACCGCTCCCATGTTTTAGGCGGTAGAGACTTTTCGAGTTGTAGCTTCGGACGGAGTATCCCTTATACTTATTTTATTGAAACCATTGCTTATTAAAAAAAAATTTATGTGGACCTAACACAATATCAAAATGGGAAGTCTTACGTACTTATCATTTTATCGATATATGGGAAAATTTTATCCAAATAACCCAATTTATCAATTTTAATCCCAAACAAACCTACCTTTCAAATTAATTCTTAGTATACCCTATTTTCCAAAAATAAAATAGATTAAAAAGGAGGCGCCAATTGAATTAGCGCTTCCTATATTTTTTTAAATTTTTTCCAGTTATCTCCAGATTTACCTACGAATTTTACATTACCTGCGGATTTACCCGGATTATTCAAATCCACAAGTAAATCCGCAGATAACTGGAAATAAAAAAAAAAATAGGAAGCGTCAATTCAATTGGCGCCTCGTCTTTATTCCAATTTTTTGGAATGTGGGATATATTGAAAATTAATTTGAAAGATATGTTAGTTTGGGATTAAAATTGAAAAATTGAGTTATTTTGAGAAAAAAATAAGGCTTTTAACCACGGGGTCGTGAGTTCGTTTTCCACAAACGGCGCCACTGATCGTACCTGACCAGAATGGATCGTCAAAGTCTTACGTCGAGCTGAGGTTGAAAGCAAGATAGGGGGTACCTGCAAGACACTCTGATGCCAAAGTAAGTTTTAGGGAGAGTGCAAGCAAGTGTGAGTATGAGTATGAGAATGAATACATGACCCTCTCAAATGAGAGGATATTTATAGTCCTCAGCGCTGGGCCAAAGTCCCCAATATTGGACCACGATGAGACCCAAAAATGAAGACTGTCAGGGCTTACGTGTTTATGGAGTCCAGCATGTGGACTCCCCCCTGGTCAACTGCCACAAGAAGAATAGGGGTTGGACCTGTGATTTCTGGAAGACAGTTATGATGACAATGATAAGGACACGTGAACCACATTCCCCAACAGACGCGCGGAGAGTTGCTCAACACCTCAGCTTGGATTGCTTTCCTTTAGACCTCACAACAGTAGGGCAAGTGCGCGCCTAGTCCATATCAGAAGACAAGCTTTTAATTATTGTCTTTCTTTCTTTTTTTGAAAAAAAAGTTATTTATCTTATAAAAAAAAAGCTATAGAGTTCCGGGTGGTGTAAGAATTGGAAGCCCAGTAACACTAAAATTTAACAAAACACTCACATTGTCCAAAAGAAAACCCACACACACATAGAGTGAATGTGATAGTCATAAGTCATATCTTATTTTGATTGTTGTGCGATTTTTCAACACATGAGATAAGTAAGTATTAGACTCCAAATCCTATAAATAGCACATAAGCAATTCTTCTTTTCAACTCATAACAAATAAACAAACACCTTACTACCTTATCTTGTTCTTTTAGTCCTCTCTATATACATGGCTCGTATCAATTCTGCTTTACTCATCACTCTGCTTTTCTTCATCATGTACTCCTTACCATCTAGTATAGATGCTCGAAAGATTCTCAAAATGGAAACACAAGAGCTGCCTTCTATAAAAGGCACCCTACGTTTAGTTGATGTTAATAATCACAATATTTATAGAAATGGAAGACTCGTTGCTCATCTTGCCAACAATGGAAGAGTTCTAGTATCTTCTGTTCCTAGTCCAGGTGCCGGACACTAGTGGTGATATCTACATATTAGTTATTTGATATCCAAACATGATTACAAACTTTGGTTGTATCATATTAGCTTAATTTCATCTCCATATTACACACTAGTGATACTGAATCAATGATTCTCATTTGCTAAATGTACTTAATAGTATATTATAAAAATTCACTCCAAATTTTAATATTTTTAATCTAATATCTTTCAAATGAATAAAATATTTGTAAAAATAAATAGATTTAAATTTCTATATCAAATAAAATTAACATTATTAAATAAAAGATTATATATATATATATATATATATATATATATATATATATATATATATATATATATATATATATATATATATATATATATATATATATATATATATATATATATATATATATATATATATATATATATATATATATATATATATATATATATATATATATATATATATATATATATATATATATATATATATATATATATATATATATATATATATATATATATATATATATATATATATATATATATATATATATTAAAAAATTAATTAATTTCGCAAATAAAACAATTAAAAAAATTATATATACTACTAAGTGAATATATATGTAAGATTATAATAGTTTTATAAATTAAATCAGAATAAAATTTATATATTAAATGAAATAAATACGATTATATTCCAAGTATGTTTATATTTTAATGATGTTGAATTTTTTTATTTTTTTAGAGATTCATGTATGTTTTTTTATAACACAAATTTTAATTTGTGAATGTACTTTATTTATTTATTTATTTTGTTGAAAAAACTAAAGACATATTAATCAAAAAACACAATCCTTCAAGTATAAGGTGTATTAGAAGAATTGTCCAAAACAAAAGGTATATCAACATTGGAACAAAAAGCAACGAAGCTTCCCTAACAAAACTATCCACCAGTGTCAAATACATTGTAATAGATTAATCTGCCAACAATGATAATCAATAATGATAATCAATGCTAAATGATGACATGTGAGCCTTCAATCATCAAAAATAGTGAAATTTAACCTTCTCACAAATTGTCATCAAAGCAAGGCTCTTATTCTGAAAAACTCGAATGTTCAGTGTTTTTCAAATTTATCAAACAACAGCTACCCAAATAATATAAAAAACACAATTTCACTATTTTGACCAACCGGCCAAAGACACAAATTGATTACGTTGATCCCTATAATTCTCATGAGAAACGGATTCAATCCCTAACCAACCAGACAACAACAACCAGAGATTACCATAAAAATCACATCGAACAAACATGTGATCCGTCATCTCATTTTGACCACACAAGGATGTGCAACCCTGCTCCTCTGCACTGATAATACGTCTTCGAACGAAATTATCTTTCGTTATAAGTGTATTCCGCAACAACCGCCAAACAAATAGATTAATCTTCAGTGAAATCACTTTTGGCCACCAAACTCTAGAGTCATAAACCCTTTGCTCATCCTCCATAGTTGTCTGATAATGATAAGCATTGCTCACATTGTATTTATTTGAAGCATGAAGCTTCCACACCCAGGAGTCCTCAGCATTAACCTGCACAACAACAGAACCCAACACTAGGATATACTCCCTCACCAACTCTTCCTCCCACGCAAACAACCTCATATGCCAACTCCACGCCTCTCTATTCACCCCCACCCTAAATCAAACATTTCAGCAACTAAAGCCCTCTTATACACATATGACTTGAATAACCTACTGAATCTATTCATCAACCTCCCTCCATCCAACCAAGTATCCCTCCAAAATAGAGAATTTACCCCATTCCCTAATGACTGCTCGATATTATTGATAAACCATCCACTGTCAATCATCCCAACCACCTGCCTAACCCTATTCACATTCTGCCACCACAAAGACCCTCCTACTACCTCATACCGCATTTTCCCTCCTGCCTCCCGATACCTCTGAGCTAGCAACCTATATCAAGTTCTCCCCCTCTCCTCCAATATCCTCCAACATCATTTCCACAATAATGCCACATTAAACTCCTTTAACCTTTTTACCCCCAAACCACCGTTCTCCTTATTCAAACAAATAGTATCTCAATCAATCCACGCCATTTTGGCACATAATTTGCTTTAATCATGATCTTTCTTATATGTTTTGTTTGAGATAAATTATTATAAGTTGGCTACTAACTTGTAAGGTTCTATACCTTGTTTAAAATGAAACTTACTTGCTTCCTAAGTTTTGATTACTTTGTAATGTTTGCAAACCTGTTTCTCCTTCACCTCTTGAATTGATTAGTTATTTGAGTATTGTTTGTACATGATGCTATGTGATTGTTTACAACTTTAAAAAATATCTTATAATTTGATTACAGATTGAATATATATTTTTATTGTTGCCATAAGTGAACCTTAAGTCTATAATCTTTAGTGGTATAGTTTCTATGAACTAGTTTGATCTTTGTAGAGTTTCTTTAGCCTTACTTGCATGATTCCTTTGCAATTCTTATCCCATCTTTGGGATGTGTTTCTGTGAACTTTTTAATAGATACTTGCTGAATTAGTTAGACTTCCACATTTCCTAAGTCATAGCATCTTTGTATGTTAAGCATTGGTGTTACCTTTACACTTTAAGTATTTAGTGCTAGTGAAATTGTTGATTGTTTTTGACTTGATTTGTAATGCCTTAGGATAGAGCCACTTATGAATGATCCTTGGGGGAAATTTAGTGTTTTTGTTTGAAAAGTTCATGCTAATTGATCGATGACTTGAAGTATGCATTAGATGTTAGGCTTGTTTGGTTGCTACTTGATTGTTGTTTCTAGACCTTTATACTTAGGTGTTTGGTGGGCTCTTAAGCCATTATATTTCGTTGCTTTATTCTTGTTTTGTATTTGTATGTTCCCTTAGGTTCACTTGGTTCATCTTTGAATAATGGTAGGTTCACTTGTTTTGTATTTGTATGTTTCCTAACTTTAGGACCACCATTGCATGACAACATTAGGAATTGAGATTCCCTTAGATTTTTAATTCCTCTCTAGCATCCTTAAAACTAAAATTTCATTTTCTTAATCAAATGTTGAAAACACATAACAATAATGATGTGAACCATGTGGCACGATCCTTAAGCATTAGGAGGAGTATGATGTGGTTCATTCCTAACCTTGTGCTTCCTTTGAATCATAGTCTTTAATATGGTTCAAATCACCAAACCCTTTCTCAAGGTAAAAAAGACTAAACCAATTCAAACATTTTGCCTCCGAGATGCCTCCGGCCATTTATTTTAAGAAAAACTTTTTATAAAAGGATATGATATTTCAATTTCGTGCAAACGACGCATGAGTCCCTAAAGGTTGGGAAACAAATGTCTAATGCTAGAGTGTGAATGTAACACTATATGCCTAAAAACATAAAACAAACAAAAAATTTTAATCCGAACTACGAGGCTTTGATTCCTTAAAAGGGATACGTAGGGATTGGGTTGCAGGGCCTATGCGAGGACAACTATTTAAAACTTTTGTTTTCCCTATATTTTTCTTTTGCATTCACGCATTCCTTTAGCATTGTAAGTTTAGATAGACACACCCTTTGATTACAAAAACTAGAGTGGATCATGTGGAATACCATGGACACGAGGGGTTATAATACCTTTCCCTTGCATAATCAACTCACATTCCCTTCTCTTGGTTGCAAGAACTTGTTTTTCCTAAGGTTTACTTGATGTTTTCCTTTCCCTTCTTTGGGATAAATAACATTAGATGGAGACTTCATTATCCATTTTCCTAGTTGCTTTAATAACGCAGTTAACATATTAGAACAGTCTCCCGCTAACGAAACACCAATCACCTTTCCAACACTCTCAAGATCTTCCTGCACCTCTTTATATCCACCATGTAAAGCCTTCTAGTGTTTCCATTCCTCCTTATTTACCAAACTATTAGACTCTGCCGATAAAGACTCTCCTTGAAAGATCTCCTTCGCACAGACTTAGAATTTTTAGATCCCTTCCTCCTTTTAGATGTTTTTAACGCCTTGAGAAATTCTCTCCTATCTATCCCCGACAACCTTGCGGCCCTTTTCAAATCAAGCAGGGAAGTAGGTATTTTATGTCTCTTAACTTTACCCCCACTCTTCTGTTCCCCCAACCCAGTAATCATCTTACCCCCTTCACATTCCTCCTCCACCTTCTCATCTACCACCACTTTAGCCTTTCCTACCCTTATTACCTCCTTTCCCCCATTCTCCACCTTCCTCTCATAAGCTGGGTTTTTGACCTCCTTGTTAACCCAATTCATGAAGATTAGACACTAGGTTCTCTACCTCCGGGTAATACTCAGCATCATTATGAAACTCTGCATGATCCAATGGATCCTCATCCTCATATTCCACCAAACAAGCATCCTTCACCAAGCCAACCTCCAAATCCTCAACCAAACGAATGGAGAATTCTCTCCTGTCAACCCACACTGTTTCAAATCTATAAATAGGTTCTAATATTGGAGTAAAAATCAGAATAAGAGAAAAAGCCAACTGTAATCTCTCACTAGAGCATTCATCCACCTTAAGAATTTGACCAGAATCAGATACCAGACATGCAAATAAAGAAGTACTCCATGAATGTAGAGTAACCCCATAACATCTAACCCATGCCCCGCTTTCATACTTGATCTCCCCGTCCTTCGACCAAGCCCTATAATCATAAAGAAATTCCAAAAACAAATCCACTGTTTCAGCATTTACCTCCTCTGACGCATCTTGTACAAAGTGATAAATAAACATTTATCACCCCCTAGTGGCACCACCTTAGGATCGTTAAAACCAACATAAAAAATAATTTGTCGCAGTACATACATACAATTCTGAATCCGGCCCACCACACCCCTCGACGCCAATCCACATCCACCTGCATGGATGTATACTCCTTCTTCACCGGCTACCCGACTTTCCCTATATCCCCCACCTCCTCCTCTTTACTAGTACCCCCTATGATATCAGCAAATGACATAATCATTTTACC